GACAATGTATAATTTCAACTCCTAAAACACCTGGAGAGGGTTACCACTGGAAGAAGATGCAGTACATTCCATTCACCTTTTAACCTTTCAGCTGGGAGGGCTGGGTGTTGGAAAGAAAGGATATCATACTTCCTTTTCTAAGTTCAGGTCTAGTGACAGACTTTTCCTAGCTATACTCAATCAAAAAGGCACAGCTGTGGAATTAGAGCTTTTCCTAGTAACCTAAATGCATACAAAGTATGTGAGAAAATTTTTGAAATTTGCTATATGAAAAAGTTAGTTGTGATAGTGAATATATTCTATTAATTATTCATCAAGTTTTGCAGACTTTCTAACCTGACCGTTGGATTCCTGATACTAGGTCTGTAATACTTCAAGAGTACTAACACTAAAATTATTATTAAAAAAGGAAAAAAATATAAAAAAAAAAGTTGCAGTTAAACTCATCAGTTGATTTGTTATGATTTAGTTACTCTGTGACCTCCACAGTTTTCAGTGGTACATAACTGGGGAAACAGAGTGCACGCAGAACTGACCTGAGCCACAACAACACTGGGGTTCAGGGGCCCAATGTCTGTTCGGTGAGACATAAGGCACGTCTGCTGTCACCTCTGCAGCATCCCAAGGACAGCACATTTCATGCAGGGAGAGAGATTTGCTATGAGTGCTGTAGCCCAGGGAAATCTGAGAAATGTGCATTGCAAAAAATCAAGAGAAGAGAGAGTGAAAGCACATCATTTATAAAACAGCTTGACTGAGCAAGTAAGGCTGATTTACCTGCACCGTGCCACTATTGTCTCAACGGCTCTGCAGGGAGCATTCATTTGTCATTTCCGCCATACCGTATCTCAAGACATACAAGTATTACATGGAATGCATCCCTCAGCAGTTGGCTCGCAGCCTGCTTTCTGGCACATCTCAAATCCATAGATAAATGCTCAGGAGCAGCACGCTGCTCTTCATCACCCTATTTCTAAACTCTTGTGAAGCATCTGCACACAGGCTTTATTTCATTGGCTTTAGGTTTTCCCAGGTTACCCTCCGTTACAGGTATTTGCGTCTGAAATAGCTGAGAGTGCTCCTTGTGGGACTCCAGGGCCTGCGGGACCCTGCCAGAGCCAGGGTACTGCCAGAGGGGCACGACCCGGAGCGGGTCAGGGTGGCATAGGCAGAGGGGGAGGCGGAGCGGGGCAGGGTGTTGTAGCCAAAGCGGGACAAGGTGTAGGACGAGCGGTTCAGGGAGCTGTAGGGAGGCCGTGTAAGTGTGCCGTAGGTGGCGCGGGTGGAGGAGTAGGCAGAGCGCCCCTCGGGGCTCCACAAGGATCGTGAGATGGGAGCCCACGTGGAGCCCAAGCGAGTGGTGGTGTCATAGGAAGGGCTCCACTGGGAACCACAGAGGGAGCGAGACCCGGAGGTGCCCACAACCTGGGAGACGGAGCGGGGGGTGGGGGTACAGAGAGAGCGGGCTGTGGTGGCTGTCACGGGGCGAGGGGACGGGGAGCACGGGAGGCAGGCTGCACCTGGGGAGTCCAAGGGCTGGGCGGCAGGAGAGCTGTCAGGGCGGGCCCCCACGACCACCAGCGAGGTGGAGCTGGGTGAGCACAAGGAGTGGGCGGCCGGGGGCCCCACTGGGCGGGGGGTCGGACAGCACAGCGAGTGGGATGCCGGGGGTCCCACGGGACGGGAGGCCGGGGAGCACACGGAGTGGGATGCAGAGGCGGCGCCCACCTGCAGCACTGTTGGGGTGCTGCTACGGTCAGCAGCACGGAGCGCTGGGGAAGCCGCTGGGGAGCACATGCCGTGGGCTACCGCGGCATTCGGGGCTTGGGAGGACAGAGCGGCCACTGGGCCACACGGAGGCTGGGTGGTGGGAGAGGGTGTGGAGCCGCAAACGACGTGTGAGATGGAGGCACCAGGCACTGAAAGGGGAGTTGGAGGTTGCATGGGATTACCAATGGTGTGGACTACTGGAGAGCACATGGAGTAGGATGGCGGAGCAGACACAGGGACTGCCTGGGTTGCCCCACTGGGACTGGGGCCAGCCATGAAGTGGGTCAGCAATGCACTCACCGCATTATTCGTGGGGACAGAGACAGAATAGGACATTGGCACCCCTCCACCTCCAGAGGGGTGCGTGGGAGCAGGACCTGTCTCAAACACCACATGAGGCATAGGGGTGCAAACAGGGTTGGATACTGGGGCTGGCATGGAGCTGTACATGGATGGAGGAGGCATTGGAGCACAAGTAGCAGGAGGTACAGTCTCGCATATGACACGGAAGCCAGGATCGCACCCCATTTCAAAACCAGGATTGATGGCCGGATTGAAGCCTTGGTTGCAGATGGAGTTGCATAACGGATGGCCTGCAGGAAGGTACACGAAATCATACACAGGCTGCCCCCCTGCACTGCAGTTTGGGTTGCACACTGGGATACATATATATTCACACATGGAGTTGAATGCGGGGTCTGCCACAGGGACAGGCCCAGAGCCGTTCACGGGGACGGAGCCGTTCTCACACGCTGGGAGTGACCCGTTCTGGCTGATGGGCAGGACACCGTTCTGGCCCGCGGAGCAACACACTTCAGCTTTGGCACATCCCTTACAGTAGGCAAACTTGTGGCATCCAAGGTTGGCCAGGAGCCGGTGGCTGCCAAGCCTGTAAGGTGTGAACTCCACGATGGTCCGCGCCTGTTGGTTGGATGCCAGCGTTCCCAAACTGGAGCAAGACAAAGAAAATAATTAGGACCTAATCCTTGGCGCTCAGAGACCTAAGCTCTCCAAGATGAGTGCACAAAATTAAGTTTGATTTGCTATGCCATATTTTAGAAACAAACTGTTATGACAATTTTGTTATTCTTGTCTTCTTCCAAAAAAACCCCCCAACATAGTCTCTGTTGTGAAAAGCATGGTAAAAACTTTTATCTCAAGAGTGGATATGGAACACTTCCATATTTTCCAGATTTCCAATTCTGTAATTGGAATTGGAAAATCACTGTGGTACTGCCTTGAATTCTTAAGAAATGTAGCACCCTTCTGCCTCAAAGGTGTATTTATTGCTTACCATTTCCAGCAGTTCGACAGGGCAGCTTTGTGGAATCCAGTTCATTACTATTCAGTGAGAACAATTCTTAACTTCTTGCCCTCAAAACTAGTCATACTTTTGTCTTTTCTCCTTGTCATGAAGAGAAGCAATGCATATTAATGAACAGCTACTTTTCCTAGAATGTTACAGCATCCTGGAAGTTTCCAGCTCCCTGTGATTAACGTGTTACGGGCTTAGAATGCATATTGCTATTTCTCACTGTCGTTCTCTAATTGTCCCTGTATGTGGTTAGTGCCAGTTCATGAATATTTAGAGGAATTTTATTATAAACTCAATAGGATTGTAAGGGACGAGGGACCCAGCTAGTACTTCTTGTAAAGATAAGTGTGCAGATAGATATTTGATGCACCCACTTAAATTAAATCTTGAGAAAAATGAAGCAGCAGCATTCCTTGCCAGCTTTAAATGATCCTCAGTTTCAAGAGGAGTGAGGCTTTTAATGGAGTCTCAAGGTAATAAGAGGCAAAATAGGCTGTTCATGTGCTAAACGACAAAAATATCAGAACTATTGTCTCTCTCAAAACCTGTTCTGAACTTGCACACCTTAGTTAACCCTCAAAATTATCGCCATTTCAAGAACTGATGAACTTACTCAATGGTCATCGGCTCTTTGAATAAACCACAGCCTTCTAATGTCATTACACAATTCTTCATATCTTCCTGAAGAGGATTGCAGAAGGAGATCTCTGCAGTACATGGTACTTTCAGTCTGGGTTGGCTCAGTAGCTAGTTAGCAAAGAAACAAACACATTTTATGTTTTTTAATCCTTACAAAATTGACATTAAGGTAAATAAAGGGAAAAAAAAGAAAAGTATTATTAGTACACATTTTTTTCTGACTTGCTTCTATGATCTCTATACATTACTAAGTCAACTATTTTACTTTAAAAATCACACCAATCTTGCTAAATTTAAAATAAGGGCAATAAAAGAAAAACGGAAAGTATTTCAAGTTTGTTTGCATTGTACTTAGGAAGTGGCCAATAAGAGTCCCCAGATCTGTTCCTTGGATCCCAAATTCCATAAATAAAGTTCCTTACCTTTACAATAACAGGTGGTCGGTTGACCACAATATCCCTGCTCACCATCAGAACTTCTCCACACTCTGGGTCTGAGACAGCAACTACTTTCATAATGTTGTGATCGCAGAGATAAGATCCATATTGATTATATGATATACACACCGGAATTTTTTTCACTGTAAAACAAATTAATTTCATTTTTTTCTGATTTGTTATTAATATTCCCACTTTCCTTCTTCCTAAATTTTAACTCACACTTACAATGGCTTAATTAAATATTAAGTTTTCATGGCATCTTTAAAAATAGCCAGAATTTTTTCTGACTTAGGGTGATATATTGCTATCTTCAGCAATCAGTTTCACAGTTTTCAATTAATCTATCAGTGAATTTGCAAGATTAGTTGATGATGATGATAATTATTAAGCAAAATCTGTGCAAATCTTAAAACAGTAATACATATATAGGCAAATTAAAGCCTCATAAAATAGAATTTTAATATCAGTATGAAATTTTGTCTTATAATAATGTGGTTTAATTAAAGGGATCTTGTTTCTTCCAGAAAAATATATTAACCATGGAAACAGGTGTTTATGTTCTGCTATACATTCGCTCCTCCCAGCATATGGTATGTCTAGGTGCTCTAAGCAAGTATTTTACACTGGTTAATATCTTCTGGCCAAAGAAAACATTGTTTTATGACGGACAATTGCAGCTTTATCTTTGTATTGAGTATAGAGTCCAGAATTGAAATTTTATTGAAACAACTTTTTAGACTCTCATAAAAATCTCTAAACCTTGAGAAGTTAAGGAAAGACTACAATTTACCTGTCACCATACATGCAGTATTGACATTGTGTTGTTTTTTGAGTGATCACCCTAAAGGGAATTCAGTTGTCAGTGTTTAACACTGTACACATGTCACTGCTCACCACTATTAGGAAGTCACAAATCCTAAAAAACAACTATCTCCCAAAAACAGCTGGGTATTAGACAATTTCACCCTCTTACCTTCCCTTGGACCCAATGTGACATTCACACTATCTTTCCAAAATTGATCCATTGGGAAACCACTGTAGGTTATAATTTGTGCGCACAAATTAAACTTCAGGGTTTTGTTCTCATTACGCAAATTTTCAAGCAGCCAGTTCAGCTGGACATCTTCACCATACATTGGGCAGTTAGCCATCTTTAACCTCATGTTAATTCCAGAGTCGCTCAGTAATGGGTTTTTCAGAGACGATAACTCTCTGTCGATATGACAGTTGGAAGCATTGCAATATCCTGGGTGAATTCTCCTGTAAGCCCGGTAATAGGCTTCTTTGTTTTTCACAGAACCTGTTGAAGAAGATATATGATAATGAATCTGCTGGAGGCGCAAGAACCCTGTTATTATTCTACCCAAATAATAAAGATAATTAAAGTTATTGCTTCTTCTTCCTGGAACCCAAAGTAGCAGGTTGTTGTAGAACAAATGCACCAGATAATGAAATATGAGATATAGCAGACTGAATGCACAGATGCAAATAAACACTTCATGGAAAAAAAAAATTTAAAACCTTATTTTACTTTCAAGTAGTTAAATATAAAAATGGTCATGTAAATCTCAAAATGTATGGTTAATACAAAACTCAAAATGTAACTCTTTAAAAGGATAAGGGTGAATATGAGATGTTACCATTCTCTCAAAAGATAAAATATGCCATTAAAACAAAGAAACCATCAATTGTTTTCCAATCAACCAACTAAAACCAAAAAAACCCACAGAGCTTGCAAATATACAATCAGCTGTGATGTACTGTTCATTCCTTTATGCAATTTTGCTGGTTGAACTCCTCCCATCTACTGGAATATGAAAATCAGTAATCCACAGCCCAAAGTAAGAACATCAGAATATGCTAATAATACATTAGTTTAGTAAGTAGGCATATTTTCTGACAGACCTAGTCCAAGAAGCAACAAGCAAGGTGTTAATTCTAGGTTTTGAAGAATTTGTGGAGTTTTTTTAGATTATCTTGACTCTGCTAATATTTTAAACTACTTTAAAGGTGAGATCAGAACATATACATACAAAGAATGTTATTAAAAGGGCTGGAACCCATGCCTGCGAGGAGCAACTAAGAACTTTGGCTTTGTCTAGCTTGGAGAAAAGCAAGCTGAGCAGTGACTTCATTGTTCTTCCTAGCTTCCTGGGAAGAGGAAGTGGAAGGGGAGGTCCTGAGCTCTTTTTCCTCGTGTCCAGTGACAGGAAGCGTGGGAGTGGTTCAAAGCTGTGCCAGGGAAGGTTTAGATTAGGAATATTTTTTCATTGTCAGGCAGGTCAAACACTAGAACAGGCTTCCTAGAGAGGTGGTTGATGGGCCATGGTTGTCAGTGCCTTTAAGAGAGGTATTTAATAGTATATTTCAACTTTCACTCAGTCCTGACATGTGAGGCGGTTGGACGAGAGGCAGGTCCTTGTAGGTCCTTCCAGCTGAAATATCCTATCCTATCCTATCCTATCCTATCCTATCCTATCCTATCCTATCCATTAGTATATGCTTTGTTTGAATAATCTAAATATATTTAGAAGTTTTAAAACCAAGATCTTTGAAGAGAAAAGCATTTGCCTCTTTCTCAAAAAGAAAAAGACAATTTCAGATTGTTTTGCACATTTAAACACAGGAGAGATTACTTTGATACTTTTATATGATTAGCCTGTAAAATTTCCTCTAACCCATAAATATGTTTTCATCATACCTAGTTCATACTTGTAAGATCCAGTGATATCTTCAAATTGCTCACTGCCGACACTCTTGGTGATTAGACGTTGTCCACATGGCCATGTGTCACAGAAAAATTTTGTTCTTTTGGCATTGTTTTGGGAAAGCCAGCCAACATAGTTTGAATTTACTCGAGAAAACATATGATGACCATCATAATCCAAGTCCAGTTCCCCTTCCCTGATGCTTCGAACCCATGTAGGACCACTGCAAGCTGAACCTAAACAGCAAAACAAAAATGTTATAACACATTGTAACCTGAGTAGTAGGGAAACTCAGCAACATAATCTGAGGAAAGTGATTCCAACTATAGTAAAGTTACCTCTGCCTGTTTCCAGAGGTGTTGGATCCAGACACTGCCAGTCACCACAGCACTGATTTATGTCTCTGCGAGCCATCCAAGATTCATTCCAGCAGTGGTATCGCCTGTAGAATGAAGGAATATACAGTGAAGGATGTCTCTTGGATTACCAAGATAACAGACGAAGACCATGTCAGCGACAGTTTTTTAATCAACTGAAGATTTTGTATGTCTTAACACTGTTCATGATGTTTGTGACAGGAGTAGTTCTGTTTGTTTTATATCACTCAGACTGGAAATTTGTTCCAGAACTCCACAGACCTGATTGCAGAACATGTTTCTTTAGTTGATAACATGTCAAGACGGTTCTTTTGTTTAAGTTTAACAGGAATTGAAAGGTTTTTAAGAATGAAGCAATCCATTACGAAGAACATCAGGAGGATAACATAGGTATTAACCAAGTGATTATGACTGAAGATAAAACTCTAAATTAGTGATAAATTTTCCCTAGCATTTCATTATCTGCTTTACACTTCTACAGCTACTAAGTTTGATGGCCTTATTTTTTTTTCAGCTGAGAAAGATAAGCAGGCAGCATGGATTCTAACAAGAGGTTTTACTTTTTTCTTTTTTGAAAATCTACATTGAGTAGACTGCCTCTTTATTTCATGGTTTTGAAATGCATTATTAGGAAACTGAAGAGCATTAGCCCACTAAAGAAAGAGAAACACCAAAGAGAGACACTGATCTGCTAAATTTATGCCAGTTTTTATATCATGTAACTTTTAAACGGGCAAAAGAGCTTTATATTTTTCTTACTTACCATAGCTTGTCTTTGCCACCCAGGTTTTTACCAGTAGAGTCAAAAATCTCATTGATACCAAGAGGATTCTCAATCGAGCAAGGAAAACAGAAGCTCGTGACAACACGACTTGGAATTCCCAGACACCTCATCACTGTAAAAAAAAATACTAATGAAGCATTGCAAATCACAATTAATCAGGCAAATCCTTCACTTATTTTATAAATAATTATATTCTAAGTTGCAGTTACAGAAACACAATGGATAGGAAGCAATGTTTGGGATGCAGTATCTTCAAAATTCTTTTTAGTTCTTGAAAAGCAGTTTGGAAAAAAGCCTAGTAGAAAAGGATGTTTTTTTTACTCTTCCATCTTAAAATAAAAAGAAAAAATCAACCACAAAACCAAATGTTTTAAGTTCAGAAATCATCAACCTGATTCTGCATTAATAAAACACTTTTTTTTTTTTTTTAATAAATAGTGTGGTACATTTAGATTCATCTACAGGACTTCAATTTAATTTTCTTCATTCAATGTAGATAAATGGCATAAAGTTGAAACTTCTGTCTGTAGAGTTTTTTGCTTTAAAAGGAGACTATAGGCTAGTGCTTTTGTGTTTTGGAGGAGACGTTACTAGAAGTCTTCCTGTTCCTAACTTAGTGTTTTTTCTCATCCTTCAGACACCACCCAAAGCATAAATTTTCACTCCACAATGGGGTTGTACTAGATGACCTTTAAAGGTCCCTTCCAACCCCAACTATTCTGTGATTCAGTGATGCTGCACTAGCTCTGTGTTTTAATAAAAGTTTCAGAATTGATAACTGCATAATATAAAGGTCACAGAGAAGATGCAACTACTTTTCTTGCTATTCAGCCTGTATACGAAAGCAAAAGGTTGATAATAAACACATATCAGGAGCATGAGAAAAATACTCAATTTCTTTTCTAGTAAAATGCTTATAAGTTAAATTCTTCAACTATTTTTTTAGGGTCAGAGGTTTTTGATCCTTGATTTCTCTCTTCTCTATAAACTAGGTAAGTGCAAACTGAAATATCATACCTGTGCACATTACTGAAGCAAGAGATCCACAGTACCCATATCTGACCGGTCTGCATCTGCCACTGTACCACTGCTGTAGAATAGGGACACTTCCATTCCAGGAAAATGGCTTTGTTCCTTTCAGGTAATCATTGCTTTCTGGAATCTTCATGATACTGTTAGTGGTATGGCTGCATATCTAGAAAGAGAAAAGAAAAACAACCTTTTCAAATAGCCAACCATGTCTTCATGTTCTAAGCATGTCTCAAAATGATCAGAGATTAGTGTTACAAGTTTAGTTTTCCTGTGAATCTGAGCACAGGAAGGATTTTCCCTGCTCACCTGCTGTGTTAGATTACCATGCAGGTTGTCCTTCTACAATATAATGAAGTGTCACCTGATCTGTTCAGAGGTCTCACACCCCCACAGATCTTACCATGTGATTCACCACCATGCTGACATGCACAGGGTCATTGCGCCAACAGTGGTCACGATCAGATCCATGATGGTAACTCGCACCCATATCTAAGATCTTCAAGCAGATATCCAGAATCCCATCTTCAAACTGAGGGAAAAGAGGATGACATAGGCATCATGGTATGATTTGACATTGCTGGATTGTTCTTATCAATATTCCAGTCTTTTTCATTTCTATGATCTACTCTCTCTCTTCTCCTGCCTTTTTTTTTCTTTTTTTTTTTTTTGTTAAATCAAATCAGTTCCTAGTGGTCTGCATGGTATTGCCTATCTGCCTGAAGGAAAGCCAAAGGCAAAATCATGTCATTTTTACTTATGTTTGACCAATGGAATAATTTTCCTTCAGAAGCACAGTATTTGTTTCACCCGTTCTCAGAACATCCTGCAATTCCTCTAATTTTACTAGATAAAACCTTGTTCTGGTTATTTAGGCTACATTGAAATTCTCAGACATTTTGGTTTGTGTATGCATATTCTGGACTGATCCTAAAAACCTTTGCACTACAAATAGAGCATACATTTCTGAAAAAATGCAGACAAGACTTCATTCATCAGTACATGGGTGACATCTATTTCTGAACAAGTGTTAAAAACATACCTGTCCAAAGTGCCATGGTCGAGAGGTTATGTGCTTGTGAACTCCTTCATACAGTATTCCATGTTCGTTCAGAACATATTCTTCCCTATGGAGCTGATTGTCCAAATATACAGGATCATCTGGAAAAGATGATCTTTCATTCAGACAAAAAGTACCTTTCTAGTGCTTCTGTGTTTCTGCATCACTGTATCCTTCTTGCCTTTCCTACCAGTTTTTGATTTATACTTTTAAGCATGTTGAAGGTTGTGGGCTCTTTAAACACTCAGCAACAATTCATTCCTACTTACAGCTAGATAATATCTTTATTAAGTCTCTCTCTGCTGTAGTACACATGAATGGAAGAGCTTGCAATTTATCTTCACACGCTAAGCTGTTCTACAAGTCAAACACTCAGCACTTAGAGTTGTGTGTCTGATTTAGATCATATCAGAACAGACAACGTGAATATTTGTCATGTAATGATTTTGGAGAGGTCCTACAGACTCCAGAATTGCTTGCTACTAGAGCCAGATCTACAGAATTTAATTTTTATATGTACTATATTATTTTATGATGATAACACAGTATTCACAGAATTACAAAGTGGTTGAGGTTGGAAGGGGGCTCTGGAGGTAACCTGGTCCAACCTCCAGCCAGTTTCCTAGGCCACATCCAGATGGCTTTTGAATAGCTCCAAGGATGGAGACTCCACAACCTCTCTGGGCAACCTGTGCTGGTGCTCGGTCACTCTCACAGCAAAAATGTGTTTCCTGATGAATAGAGGAAACTTCCCAATGCTTTATATCCTGCCAAGGCACTGTAAAAGTTGAGGGAAAATATTATACCTCACTCCTAGTACCACTAAGAAAACAAATCAAAACAATGGCTTGAGACAGTCTTGAACTTGGAGGAAAAGAAATTAAAATAACAAAATTAAATCTCTCCTTGATTCTCATTGTTTATGCTGCTCCATCCTTTACATACTAGCTAAATAATAATTGCCTTCAACAGTTTTACTCATCACTAGTTATTTATCGTAAAACAATCTGATTGTCACTGGACTTCTTACCTGCACACCAAGGGTTAAAAAGAACATAAAAATCTCCAAGACACCGCTGATATGTGTGACCACAAGATGTGATTTGCATATTGAGAATATAACGGCCAATGCAGACATTGGAGGGAGGAAACACGCTGATACTGATGCATTTCGGCTGATGAACTTTGTAGGAAGCACTCCAGCAGGTTTGATCCAGACATCTGCCCATTGGGAAGGTGCATTTTGTCTCATTTGATTCACAGGGTCTGAGGCCTTTTCAGGAAAATAGAAATCACTTTCATCAGACTACTAAACAAAGCACATGTAAAAGGCTAGTAATTTGCTTAAGCATCATTTGCAAGGTGAAGCTCCCAAGGGTGGATTTCTTTTTTACTTGTCACTTCTGTAGCAGAGTGAGAAAACTTTACATATTAGAAGAACTGCCTGATTTAGGGGAAGGTAGTCTCTTTACATGGAACATGAGTAGGTTATGGGAATATGAAGACTATGAAAGAAGTCTTCTGAAGACTATGGGAAATATTATTAACCAGCAAAGGACTAGGAAAGACTACAGAGTGTTCAGGAGTGGCTACCTGTTTCCACGGTGAAAGCAGCCTGGTCCACGGAGTCATCCCATTCCCGGTTTTGGAAACGAGCATAAAAGCTAAAGGCTTGCCCTCTCCTTATTATCTGTCTGTCAGTTCCGAAGAAGTGGGTATTATGTATTTGACAGTTGGAAGGACAGTTCAAGTCAACTTCTCCCAGCTCAATAACTGCAGGACAGAGAAAGAAGCACAAAGAAAAAGCCTCATATAATTAAGTTCCCAGCTTTTACTGTGGTTGAGATTAGGTGAAAGAGGAGACAATGATGAAAGACAGATAACTCTTTCAAAATTAATTCAAGACTTTGTTCAAAATTCAACAAGACTGAAATTGAGACATACATCCATAAAATTCCTTTACAAGTTCACCACTTTCCTAGCTTGCAGATGGAAACTTGTCTAACTCTTCGATTTTTAAAGCTGTGCCACAAGTTTCACTGCTTTTATATAGTGCCTGATTGTATTGTAAATACCTGATGCTGAAGGACAATATTAGTATCTCTACTTGAAATTTTGACTTTGCATTGTAATATTCTCTGCACACATTACAGCATAGTGTCTACAAATAGTTACAGTTTTGCACATGCTATCATTTGAGATGTTTGGGATTTTTTAAAAAATAAATAAAAAATTAAATAGAATAAATAAATAAATTGATAATGCGTATGTATTTGAAAACTTAAGTGGCACTCTAAATGATTCATCAGAAAAAAAGAGATATGTATAAATATCTACCCAAAATTTTAAGTAATTTTAAATATGCATGCAAATGTCTCAGTCTGCACTCCTAAAATCATAAAAAAAGTTTGCAGATATCTTTGAAGAATATAATAGAAAAGGAAATATTCACAAATTGACATTTTAAAATGCTGACAGTCTATTCCAGGTGCTGTGATTAGCTTGACAAAAATCTTGGCTGATTCCCCCTTAGGCATCCTGCCTGCATATCAGTCATTTCATAGATGTAATTATGACACTGGTGCCAGAAGGATGGGTGGCAACACTCATCTTTACTTATTTGCATACAACTTTTTATTTTCGAAAGTTCTTTGCTCTAATTGAAGACGATGGGAGCCACAGACTCTCAGCAGTTTTGGAAATTGGGTTTACTGATGTACAAAGTCTTGTATATTATAATTTTAAAGGGTTAAGTTTGGTCCTGCTAAGCCTAAAGAAAAATCTGGCATCTCTATGTGGGCACCTCATTGAATACAGAATTAATATTTAAGGGAAAATAATGTTTCCCATCCAGAACCAAGGGTGTATCCATACAAGGGGAGACTCATAGCTAAGCCCTTGGGACCAGGACATTTTTAACACAAACCAGTGGAGTATCCCAGGATCACATCCTGAATTAAATAATAATTTAAATTATTTGGGGGTGGGGCAGGAGGAAGGGGGGTGGAATAGGTAGGGAAGAGGCAAAAAAAACCCCAAAAAAAAAGCAGGTTTTTTCTGATTTTTTTCCTTGAATAAAAATAATCTTATTTCTCATCTAGCTATTTAAATTTGGTAATGGATTGGTCATTCAGATCTTCAACAGAGATCACCAACAAATGAAGAGCTGGGTGCTACCCACGATAAAAATATGCACACGATCAACAATAACCAAAAAATACAGGAGTGCATTACATCATATTGCTCATGAATACAACATACCTGCTGCCAAGAAAGAGCAACAGAGTTGAACTGAAAATCTCATGTCTTAATGACAGTTGTCAACCATAACACAAAGTTTTCTGGTCAAATTGAAAGTGCTTATAGCACACATGGCAAATTCCTGTGGTCAAGAACACTGAAGGATCAGGTTCCTTGTCTGGTCTCTGGAGGTGTTTATAAACCAAGACAACTACTCTTCATCCACTCAGTAATCCAGCTGAACTGGAACATCAGGGAGCTGAGATGTTACGTTTCCCAGGGAAGTTCTCTAAAGTCAGCCCACAGTTTGCTTATCAGATTAAGTATCGCAAATGGATCACAAAGGAGCTAATGATTGCTTTCTTAAGCAAAGACAGCTCGGAAAAAATATGAAAGGCAATTCAGTTTGACATTTCTTACTTGTTTTCTGCCTCTGGTAAAAACCTGACCCTCAATACCAGTCACAGGTTCTTCTCTATCAATTTATATTTTTCCTTCATTCAAGACAGAATATTTCAGGTATTCATTGGAAAATTGCTTATAGCATGAGAATACTGAAAATTAGCACTCTGTAACTTATGCTGGAAATAAAATTTATTATTTTCTGTGCTATTTCCTATTTTCAGAATTGACTGTGTCACTAAATCTTTTCCATAGGTCTCTTTTTCCTTCCTAGTAGTTTTCTTCCAAAGTTGTTTTTTCCCACCTTTCTCGCTACTTCCACAGATCATCCAAACATACAAGCAATCCCTACAGAAAAATATATGCAATGTTTTAGGCCTGTACACATGATCATTTTATTATTTCTGTTTTCAATCCTGTTTTAAGGGATATTAAAGTTTCAAGACACTTACCTTCCATTTTTCTTCTACATGTACTGGTATCCGAGGCACAGTACTGGAGGAGATACCAGCTGCTCAGCAAGACGCACTGCACGGTCTGGCTGATCTCCTCTGCGAACCAACCTAATTTCCTCTCAGTAACACTTATATTCAGAACTAAGAGGCCGTCACACGTGTTGCATCAACAAAATACCAGTTTTAAAAGAGGCCCCACCCATGTGTCTACTGATGCTCATAAATGATTCATTTTAACTTCCAGCATTATTAGGGAAGAGTCCTGCGGCTGAAGGGAGGGAAGAGATCTTGGTAACCTCACCTACAGCACAGTGTTCTTGGAGTTCCACACTTGCCCTGTCTCAAAAATACTTTAAAGCCAGGATGAATCTTAACACATTTCAGGGTAAGCCATTATTTGTAGCCATCCAAAGTTGCCGTAAATACCAGCACCTACTGTTCCCTTCTGGCTAGACATCTTCAGACAGCCTTGGAAAACAATAAGGGACACTAGTTTAAAGCTGAATTTCCACTCTCAGACTATGATAAGCAGTGGACATTTTTAACATAATATAAGCAGAAAGCCCAGCTTTCAGAAAGTCTGCAGAGCACTCTCTCCAAGGGGAGGTCAGAACAAAATGATCAGTTACAAACTTTTCCAACTAAATTGCAAAATATGCAGAGCATGCACTAAATTGAAGTTGACAATAAAATTTAACCTAAAAATTATGTAAGTTGTTTATACTTTGTATGCATTTATTTCCTAGCACACAGTTTTGCAGCTTCTTAGCTTACTCTACCTCCCTTCCTCTGAAATTTTGAAAACTGTTTCCAACAATATTTGTGAACAAAAACCATGTTAATGCTTGAACAGAAAAGTTGTGCTATTTTATTTAGGTTCCAGGCATATTTAATAAAATAAAACAAAACAACCACAACAGTGTTCTCTTTACACTCTTAGTGATGAATACTTTAGCTTGCAAATAGGAGACATGGATTGAAATTTCTTCTGGTAAAACCAGAATGAACATGTGCTACTAGTTTCCTCCTATCCTTCTTATGCCTCTATGCCAAGCTTTATTCCATAAGCTGTCTTTTGAATCCCTCAAAGTTATTCTTTGTATTGAAAAAAACCCAACCCTAAAATAAAACAAAAAATAACCCCAGACCAACTAAGAAAAACTAGACACAAAAATCATTCATTGATATAGAAAGATTCAGACACAGTGACTGAAGTTCAGTGATTTGCATAACTGCCTGGATTCTAGACAGTGCTTTAAGAAATCATGACATGAAAAAGCTTAACAAACAGTGAAATAACTTAGTAAGCATAACCTAACAGCTCACGTATTGTGGAATAACTTCAGAGAAATTAAAGCAAAGAAAAAAAAATCAGCACATCAACAGTGGGTCTAGAAGAGAGCAGTTAAAAAAATTGTATGACTGATGCATATGAAAGTGAATATGATTTTCAATGTGTTTATATTTTGAAAATTATAAATGTTTGGTTAGTAGACAGACAAAAAAGTCTGAATCCTAAGTATTTCATTCACATCATATATCTGAAAGATTTCTTTTTCTTAGTATTTACCATTTGACTATTAAAATCCTACTCACTGAAAAAAACAAAAAATCAAAAACACCACTCTTTCGGAAGAAATAATTTAGCAGGCATACACACATAATGAGCTTTCAATCAGCCTGCAAAATGGGAACGGTTGTAGTCAAGCCAGCCACCAGAGACCTGCCTACAAGCAGATGCACATTCTAGCATCTATAGAACAGAAAAGTAAAAAGTTGGTCACAGTTTCCAAGAATATATTAAAATCCCCTCAAATACATCTAGTTCAATCTTCTGACTGAAATACCTTGGTCAATGAAAGCCTGTGACAAATAAAAGAAAACAAATAAGCATCAGTAAGTGGCTGCACCTGTGGGTTCAAAGAGACTTAATTAAGCGTTTAAAATAATAAAGACCTGAATCAGGAGAAGAACACTTTCTGTATGGATATGAGTCACTGGCTTTAGTAAGTATGCTTGCTTAGATCCTTGAAGCAGCTTTGGTGCCTATCTGTCTCTGCAGGATCATTATACAGATGCCCAGCCCCAAAGCAAAGCCTCTCAGATACTCAAGTTCCTGCCTATCAGTGTCTGCAGAACCATCCAATTGCCTCTGCCAGCTCGCAGCTATCAGACTGGTTGGTCCTCTCACTCAAGCCCAAGCTTCATGCACCTAAAGTAAGAATCTTTAACAAGACAGAAAATCATAGCATTCTGAATCTCTTGATGCACTCGGTCTGTTCTTACTCCTTTTGCCTACTAAGGCTTGCATCATATTCCTTGCATTTGGGTCATCCATGCAGCAGGCCCACCACCCAAAAAAAAAAAAAAAAAAAAAAAAGAAAAAAAAAGGCAGGAGAAGA